TTTTTTTTTCTCAAAAAATAATTATTAGTTTGAAAAAAATTTAAATAAAAAAGGTATTATTTTGCGACCAAAAAAGCAATAAAGAATCAGAAATAATTAAGCAAAAATTTAAATAAATCGATGATTAGGCAAGAAGAGGATATCGCGATAGGCCAAATCCATAACACAGAATGTGAAATCACCAAGGGATTTTCTTTTATCAAGAAAATATATAAATTTATTTATTTAGAATACAAAACCAAAGAGCAATTCGTTTGATAACACTTTTTAGTATTTTATTATTTGATTTATATATTTTTTATTAATTTAAAAGTATATAAAATATTAATTAAAATAAATATCAAATATATAAAATATATTTTTAAGATGGTAAAAAGCTAAAAAACTTACAACTGCCATTACAAACTAACATTCTCAAACTACACCTGCACTAAGCAAACAATCACTGCTAAAGAGATAAGTACGTGTATTGTATTGCATGCTTTTTACGAAACGATTACGAAGACACATAATTTTGTGTCTCACATGCTCTCTCTTCTTTCTTCTTAAAAACGAGATCTATATGACCTATGATTTTTTTCATAAACTTATTACGTATGAGTCTCCAGTTCCCCTGCTGCTTTCGGTCTTAACTGAGGTTTTCTATGTTTAGAGCTAGCCAACCATTGAAGACCGTCATTCTTTTTCTGGGAAAAGACCGTCATAAAAAGTCTTTTTTTTAAAAAAAAAATTTTTAATTTCTTTTTTAAGGGTATTATAAACAAATACAATTGTCCCAAATCCTTAATTTTGGGGTGGAAAGAATAAGGATTTGAAGAGACCTTATGTGTTTATCTATAATATTCTTAAAAAAGAAATAAAAAATAAAGAAAGACTTTTTGTGATTAGATAGTAATTGAAGTAAATAAATAATAATAGTGTTAAAATAGTAAAAAAATATTTTGTCTAACTTAAAAAATAAAAAATGATAATTAATTTAGAATAAATTCAAAATTAAAAGTAAACAGTTATTTTAGAAAGAAGGGAATACTTCTTAATTAAACATTCTTATTATAATACTCTCTTTGTTTTAAAATAATTGTTACTTTTTTACTTTTTCTCCAAATTAAGGATTGGAGGACAATTTATGTATTTATATATATTGCCCTTACAAAAACCTATTTTGCAAAAGATAGGGTGAAATTTTTTGTAACAAGATAATTAATCAAAATAAATTGATAATGATATGGTTAAAGTAGGAAATAAATATTTATCTATCCTAAAAATGAAAAAAGGATAAGTAATTTGAGATAAACTTAAAATAAAAAAATAATAGTTATTTTGGTATAGAGTGAATATAAAATTGTAATTCTTTTCCTAAAATATGAAGTGGATAATTAATAATTTTTAACACCCTAGAATTAAATCAACTAAAATTGGACAAAGGAGTAGTAATATACTTTGTATATTTTTATAAGATAGTTGGGTGATATTATTACTACACCTTCAATTATTAATATCAAAATTTTTATTTTAATTAATTATTATATTTTTAATTTATTAATAAAAAATAAAATATTAAAAAAATAATATAAAGAGTAATTATATTAAAAAGGTATATCATTAATTATAAAGTGTAATTACAACCCCACTTATGATAGTTATTTTACTATTTATCTTATACAAATAACATATTTTACAACTACTAATAAAAAAACCACTGGGAAAAAGCTAATTCCTTATTAATTGTTATAAAACATGCAATCTCATGTCACTTTTCTTTTAATAGACGAGAAATTTTCAAATCCAAACCGTGTAAAATGACAGATATATCTCAAATAGTTGAATCAGCAAAACAATCTACTGCTAATTTAGGTAAATTATGCAGCTCATCAGATCCTACAAAAAAAACTTTTAATAATAGATTTTGAATTAGTAGAATTTAGAACACACAAGGCGTCATTAAAGGCTGTTCTTCTTGCTCTATAAAGGGGTGTCAAGTTCAAGCCGCCATCGATGCTCGTCGCCGTTCAGAAAGCATTGTTTAAGGTCACATGTCTCGATAGAAAAATGAGATGCATAAATAAGGGGGAGGAAGAAAAGTCGGCTTTTTTCTCATAAAAGTCCAAACTAGCTGTGTGCTTTTGGATCATCTAGGACCCTATAAATAGGGTCGTTTCTTGGCGGGTTTATTGTACGTTGCAGAGGAAGCAAAAGCAACCCTTCAGATCTCCCTGTCTTTCTTCTCTGTTCTCTTCTTTCTATCACTCTATTTCCTTTCTTACATCGGGTTTATAATGGCCGAGATACCTAATGGAAATCACACTGTTGTGAGTGTGAAAGGCGGAGATGCCACCGATATTCCTCCGCCGCCGGCCGCCAGTTCGTTCAAAGACGTCGACCTCGGTTGCTCTGTTCCTTTCATGCAGAAGGTAACCTGTTTGTTTTTATACGTCTAAGTCAAAATCAATGCTATAAAAGTCCTTTTATTTCAAAACCCATTTTGTCTTTGTGATGACGTTCAAAACCCATTTTGTATTTAATTCGATTATGGTTTGAGAATTGGAAACCATCAATGATGGGATACTGGTGTTGGATTTGCAGCTGATGGCGGAGGCATTGGGCACATTCTTCTTGATCTTTGCCGGATGTGCATCGGTGGTGGTCAATTCCGACGAGAACAAAGTGGTGACACTTCCAGGGATAGCAATTGTGTGGGGTTTGGCCGTGACGACTCTGGTTTACTCTCTTGGTCACGTTTCCGGAGCCCATTTCAACCCTTCCGTTACAATTGCTTTTGCTAGCTGCAAGAGATTTCCTCTCAAACAGGTAAATTTGCTAATGGTGAATGACTCAATTCCTTAATTTTTCCCTTTTACGAAAAAACTGTTTTGCTGTCCCAACTCGAAAGTATGAACCCATGAAGCTTGGATGAGGGCAGGGCGGGGCCAAAAAGTTCAGTTAGGGGGCGAGAATTACTGTTGAAAGTTTGGGTTTTTAACTATTTTTTAGAATACTAATTCAGTTTCTTTTAAATAATTTTGTTGTTATAATAAGATTTATTTATAACCTTTTTTATTAACATATTCTTAAAAAATAAATATAAATGTATTTATTAAAATAAAAAATAAAATATTGCTATAATAAATCATGCAAAAATGAATTGAAGAATAAATAGAAACAAAAAAAAAAAAAACATTTTGTTAG